GGGGGAGGAGGGAGAGAGAGCGAAATAACGCTCTTCGCTCCGTGCACGCTTCCGCCAGGTCCAGCCAGCGATAGGCAGCCCCTAGCAGCGCGTCGTCGCCCGTTCCTGTCGGCATCAGCCAGGCAGCCCGCGCTCGCCCGCGCCGCGCCCGTCCCCCAAACCTCTTTCTCTTCTCACTTTCCTGCTGCTGCGAGGGATCGACTTCCGTCAGCGAGAGACACGCTGCGCTGCTCGCGGGCCGGGCCGGTGTGTGCCGACCGAGGGGTCCCTCACCCAGTTTGATCACTGTACACATGCAAATTTGATCACTTTTTTTTATCACTTTTTATCATATTTTTATCATTTTATCAAATTTTTATCATTTTATCAATTTTTTGTCATTTTTCCTTTTTTATCATTATTTTTGTCATTTTTTGTCATTTTTTGTCATTTTTGTCACATTTAATCAGTTTTTATCAAATTTTATCACTTTTTATCTGTTTATTGATCACTTTTTATCACTTTTTATCAGATTTAGTCATTTTTAATCAATGAGCTACTCCATAACTCGACGTATGCCTGCAGAAGTGGCGTATCTGTGAAGAGGCGCGCAACACTGGCGCATCTGGGCCGGCCCGGCCAACACTGGCGTATCTGCTTTTCCGTTGATCTGCTCAGTCAACTTTGGAGGCGTATTGCTCATTGTAGGTATGTCGTATAGTATTGACTGATACCAAAACTCAATCACGAAGATATAAACATTGCAATGAGACATCAGTCAATACTGTACGACATACCTACGATGAGAAATAGGCCTCCGAAGTTGACTGAGCATATCAGCCGAAATGCAGATACGCCCGTGATAACAGTCCCTTCCCGGATCTGCCAGTGTTGGCCGGGCCGGTGCAGATCCGCCAGTGTTGCGCGCCTCTTCACAGCCACTTCTGCAGGCATACGTCGAACTGTCGTAAAGTCATGCAACCTAATTTGGTTGAGTAGCTTTCATTCTTTCTTGATTCGCGCCCATAAGGAGAGATGTGACAACTGCCGAACGTGTACCAAACTCTAATCGAATATTATTTTTTCGTTTTTTATCCGATTTTCTCACTTTTTACCAAGTTTTCTCACTTTTTATCAGATTTTCTCACATTTTTATCAGATTTTATCCTTTTTTATCATTTTATCATTTTTTGCATTTTTCTCAAATTTTATCATATTTTATCATTCTTTTTCATTTTCTCTCATGTTTTATCATTTTATCATTTTTTATCTTTTATCACTGTACACGAAAAATCGGAGTGAGGGACCCCTCGGCCGGCGGCCTGAATACAGAACTTCACTTCCTCCCCCTCTCGCTCTCTCCCGCTCCCCTCTCTCTCTCTTCGCTTTCCCAAGTTCTTCTTTACCCTCCGGGAAAGGAGGACACATCACCGTTCGCAAAGTTGCTGCTGCTGCTCCTGCCTGCTGAGCTGGACACGGGATCGTCCCAACGATGACGCCCCTCCCCAATCGGGCGAGGGAAAAGGAAAGGAGGAAGAGAGAGCGAGGAAGAAAGGGATAGAGGGGTGGGGGTGGAGAGAGAGAGTGAGAGAGAGGGAGAGAGAGGGAGAGGGAGAGAGAGAGAGAGAGAGAGAGAGTTTAGTTTAGCAATCGGTTTATTGGGGGATTTTTTGTACACTCGGGAAGGGAATGTGCAAAATTTGTTACATCGAAATAGTATTGCATGCAGGTTTGTTGTTTGTGTCCTAAAATGGGTGTGAGTTTTAGAAATTTTGATGGTAA